ACCTGCTTATACGGTTTTACATAGTAAATCTTTAAGTAAATATACCTACGTAGTTTAATAAAATAATCTTGTTTTTGTATTTTTTTCTTAAACTAATAATTTTTTAAAAGTAGACCCGTAACTTTTAACTCGTCTTAATTCTAAATGACTATAAGTGATATTTTATTTTTCGAAGATAATTTTAAATATAGTGCCACTATCTTTACCTAAATATTATTTGGATTGAAGATATGATTTTTACCACAATTATATATATTTTTTCTTAACTATAGTACTTTTATTCATTTAAATATTATTTAATAATAACTATTGTTTGACGTACATCATTTTATAAAAAAATTAAGCAATGAAAACCTCTTACTTGAGTTTTGATGTATTAAACTGTTATGAAATATCCGATTATAAATCATAAATAACATTTTTCATTATATATTTTTAATAAACGTAAGTACATTATTTCTTTAGTTAGCGTAAACGTTTGTATTATTAAATTTTTTATAGGTATTTTAGTCTTAAAGACTAGTATTTTTTAGTGGAATTAAAAGCGTAAATTAAGAATGATTTAATATTTTATTCGTACATAAATGAGAATATGTACATTCATCAATATCTATACAAGTAAGTCAGTTGTTTAATGGTAGTTATATTTATTAGTTTATAATATTTTCTGTTTTATTTTTTATTCAAGCTTACAATATCTAAAGAAAAAAAAATATATATTAATAAACTACAAACAAAATGAATGAGAAAGATAATTCTCAGTGAAATAAAAAAATTGGCAATCATTAATATTCATACGACCGAAAAAATCTGAAATTATGTCTGGAATATTATTAACAAGTGCATATATAAAAATTATATAGTAATTATTAAATTAATTAAATTAAATTAATATTAATTAAATATAAGTATAATTTATTTTCATATTTTCATTTTATTATTACTATTACTATTATTATTACTATTATTATTATGATTTTATTGACCATCACCACCACCATCAAAATCGTTAAGAATTATTACCACGATGTGTTTGGATTTCTGGAACTTCACCTACCAAAACAAGTTTTAAAATACGCAGTAATATATCTATCGTATTAAAATATTTATTATTATTATTATAATTACCATACTGGTATCCGGTGTTAGCTGCGTATGTGTGTGTGTGTGCGTGTGTGTGTGTGTGTGTGTGGTGTGTGTGTGTGTGTGTGTGTGTGTGTGTTAATAAATTTAATGAAAAAAAAAGAGTGTCCTTGTCTGTATACGTATGAGTTCAGATGAAAATATATATTTATTTCTGTACATTGAATACGATTTAAACGAAATTTATACTAGCCATTTAAATACACATAATATATTCAAATTTTAAATCTGATAACCAATGATTTGCTATACATTTATTTATTATAATATTTGTTTCAACCCTTGACGGCTTAAGTTTTTATAAAACAGAAAGACGCAAAAATATAACTAAATTTTCCATTGATTTAACACATCTATGATATATAACTATAAGTGTATGAATACAAAACGAATATTTTGCGAATATATATATTTTATGTAGGTACATATTACCTAATGTTAACTAATGAGATCTTTCATTTTACAGTTATTATTTCACTACAACTTTGAAGTAACAACATTTTTAAAGAATTGGCTCAATTCTCACATAATTTATTTTCATTCAAGCATTTTTGAAAATTGTTAACCATTGTCTTTGTCTTCATATCAGAATTATTATTTATTATTATAAGAAAGTGTATGCCTAAAGTAATATTTTTCGACTCAAACTTTCCCGGCTGTAGATTATCCATAGAATTGTTTTAGTCGAACTGTTTAAGTTCTATGTCGCAGAAACACTCTTATAAATCCGATTTTAATCTTTTTTGAGAATTTTCAAATTATAATTATACAAACACTTGGAAGCTATTTAAATGTTCAAGAAATGTTTTACATAAGTATAAAATAAAATCTTATAAAATCAATTAGGTTAAGAATTTTTTTTATTTTTTATTTAGTAATAGTATTTGCTGTTGACAACGCTGTTATTATATAACGAGTCTATTAACGTACCTCGGACCAAGGCTTTTGGCGATGTGCCGAAATAATTAACAAACGGACATCAACGAATTGGGGCATGAACAATAATTGCTATATATTCACGTTTTGCTGGACTAATTGTCATATTTACATATTTATTTATATAAACAACATTGTATGTAGTGTTGACACGCACTAATGTCAAATAAATTTTCCCGTCATTTTATGTCCATACTTGAATAAAATGAAAAATGAAAATGAAAATGAAAATGAGTAAACTTCAATTTTTTTTGTAAATTAAATTATTTTTCCAAGTTATCTAAAAAACAACCAAAATAATTATCAAAATATTTGGATATAATTTTAAATTATTGATTAATAAATAATAATTATTTTTTATTTGAAGACTCAAGTGTGTCTTCATTGTTTTTACGATTTTTCAATATTGTTAATGAAACTATGGGAAACTACTAGGAAACAATAATTCATTTTTAAGAAGCCAATTTTTTTATCAATTTTGAAGTTAATGTATTACTGTAAGTGTAATTGTATTAACTGCTGTTAAGACGCATGGTATTCACACATATTTTAAATACGTAATATTTTTTTCACAGAAAAAGAAAACAAGCAAATGTAAAGCATAATATATTTCAAGCTTACTTTGCGATGATAAATATCTCTTTTAACTTGATTCCTATTCGTTTTTATTCAAGTACAGTGAAAATTTTTCTTGCACGAAAATATTAAATCACTATATTATTTGCAGCCATTTAATTTTATAGATTTTTTTGTTGTTTACGCTCATAAGTTATAACTTCAATATTATAATTACATATTCGTATTACATGTTAAGTATAAATGTCTCGTAATAATCTTGGTAAATAAATCAATGATAATAATACGGGATTATTTTATAATTACATAATACGAATCACATACCATGGTGATTACATCGAACGGTAAGGAGTATAAAAACACTGAATAAACACAAAACGAACAACAGTCTTGTTTACAGCATAATGATTTCATGCCAACGGACCTGCGTCCGACAACAGCTATAATACGACTATTCCACTACATTAATCTCCCACTCTTAAACCTTACACGATTGGCGTCGCACAAAAATCATTGTTTGGTACAGAAAAGTTAGTCTTGCATATACCCGTAAACGAGTGAAAGAAGATATGAACGCATATTAGTCGTTTGAGTTTATTCGAATTTTTTTCTATTAATATTTAAACAATATTCTAATAGAAAAAATATTTCTTAATTGTTACTCCCAAATTTTATCGATAATACATTATACACTATATTTATATTATCCATACCTATTGGATATTTTTTATTTTATATTTTTTATATTTGGACATTTTTACAAATTACACTTGATATGTTGACCAGTGGTTTACTCACGGGGGGGGGAGGGGTTAATGGGTTTGAACCATTGGCCGTATTTTTTTAAAATTATTCCAATAGTTTAATAATAATTGATTATTAATTTATCGATTATAATTTGGTGGTTTATACGTCATTAGTTACCAGTATCACGGTTATCAAGTTGGATTGGAGCACGACCATAGAACATGTTCTATGACACGACCGCGCTATCAATTTAACAATTTGGTGAAAATTTGTGATAATGTGGTTTTTTAAAACAGTACAAAATTTGTTATTATTATGACTAGGGGGTGTGGGGGGCGGAGCTCCCCACTTTTGTATTCTAGTAAATTTTCAGAGCCCTCCCCATTGAAAATTCCTGAGAACGCCACTAATGTTGACCATTGTACTGTTTATAGATTTACATGTTCTCAATAGGTTATTGTATTGTATGATTACCAAATTTAAGGTACGACGATGACAGGATTTTCAGCGTAATTTATAATATTTGGAAGTTTCAAGAACACTTTTTATGACATAGAAATATGTTTTCGATAAATATTTTTTATTAAATTTTGTTTATATGATTTATATTTACACTTAAAATTGTTTTTATCTACTATTATGACACTTATCTTTAATCTGTTCTTCTAATCTGCAGATGAATTGCCGTACTTGTATAATGTATCTTATCGGCTTTGTCACAGATTGTATAATGTTAAATTTTTTTCTAGCCGCAATTTACATATCGACTTTTGGAAAAAGATTGATTTTACCGCATATTAATTTCTATAACTTTTTTGAGTCAATACGAGTACATAAGTCAGTATCATATATCTTATATAAATAATATTTAATAATACATAATATAGTATTTTGTAACGCTCATAAAACTTTTTTGTGAATGTCCATAATTTTTATTTTTAGTTTCAAAAAAAAATTTTATGAAAAATCTTGTATCCAATTTTCAAACCTCAAAGCAACTCTAAGTGATTGGATTTTTTCATGTACTTAAACCAGACATGTCAAACACACGGCCCGCAGGCAGCATGTGGCCCACGACTAATTTTTTTGTGGCCCGCGGTTACCAATATTAATCGACAGAATAAAAAATGAATAATAAAAACATTGTAAAATATTAATATCAAGTGCGGCCCGCGTAGTAAACTATTCAATTTCACACTTGATACTCTGAAACTATTTAATGTATTTGACCCACTTGATACCTTGAGTTTGATATACCTGTTCTAAATGATACGACCCGGTCCAGTCTGGTTTCATATTTTATTCCATCGGTCGGATTTAGTTTTGGTTTTAATTAAATGTATATGTCCATTCCGATCTTTAAAAAGCGGACCATGTAGAACTCTGATACATACATCATTATTAGAGAAACAAGAATCGTATAAAATGTTATAATTGGACACCTTCAGAGCGTAATGATTGCATTTTATTTATATATACCGATTGGTACTTGTTGACTTATCGTTATGATTGCCTATTAAAACTGATAGCCAACATACATATAAATGTATTTATAATAGATAATTAATATTTACAAATTGATTAGAGATTACCAACAGTGTTCAAGTGCGTAGTCGATATAGTCGTTGACTCCTAAAACCACACACTTTTGATAAAATACAGAAAAAAACCGCATATTTTTGGTAAGTTAAAACTGCACACATTTAATAGGTTAAAACCGCACTATTTTTAAAATTGTTGTATCCAAAAAAATGCATATACGAATAATCTAAATTGTAAGGTGTGTAACATTTTTAAAGTTATGACATTGATTTTATAATATATTATAAAATCAATGATTATGATTATTGTAGTATATCTTATAATCTTATCTTATCAGTTAGTTAGCACTAAAAATAGTGTGCGGTTTTAACCACTAAATTGATATATTTTGTTACACGATGATCAATAAAATGTGCTGTTATATCGACTATTTTTGGGTCAATATCAAAAGTGTGCAGTTTTCGGATGCAACCGAAATAATATTTTTACTTTTATAATAAATATAATATTAAAATTAGCTAATAATTATATTGGTAATATGAATTTGAGTAATGTAGTAACGGTAGTAACGGAGTGTACATTCAATATTATTTCAATTTTTATTATTTGAATTAAAACTGTTGTTGAATATATTCGTGAGCACGTTTTTGTCAGGTGCGTAATTTATTTCAAGACGAAATGGCTAATCAACTCGAAGAAACATTAAAAAGAATTCAATCCAGCGATGGAGTCGAAGGCTTTATAGTACTAAACAATGATGGTTTGCAAAAGTCATTCCGCCAAAAACTGGTTGTTTTTAAATCTATATATATAGCTATTTACCAAATTCGTTTGATTTTTAGGTGTCCCCATTAAATCCACAATTGAGCACTCGACAGCAGTCCGGTATTCTGGTATGATACAAATGTTAATAGGGCCATCAAAGCAAATGCACAAACAATTCAACGCTAAAGATGAATTGAAGTCAATGCGTTTACGTACGAAAAAAAAAGAGATAATAATTGTACTAGGTAAATATATTTAGCATAAAATATAAGAATAAATATATATAAAAATAAAATAGTAAATATAAATAAAAATAAAATTAATAAAATATGAATTAAAAAATATAGAATATATATATAAGATACGAAATACTATCGCAGATTTAAAAATGTATACAAAAAATAATAAAAAATATACAATGTACCTAGTCTTGTAAAGTACTTGAGTAAAATTATTTGAATAATAGTATTCAATTACATATTTTAAATAGTTTTGAAAAAAATACTTGACAAAATATTTTAAATACTTTCCCAGAGCATCTGTATTTAAAATCAAACACTTTTTTACAAATTTTATTTCAATTGTGTCACATTAAAATAAAAAATTAAATTATTAATTAGAGTGAAAATTCTATATAACAAAGTTTCATGGAGAACAAAATAAAGCTGTAATGTAGAGGAATTTGTTAAATAAAATTAATATTGTTTAACAATGGTGATCATGGTTCTAAAAAATAATTCGTTAAATAGAAGTATGTTGTGTGAAAGTTGCATTGTATGTATTTATTTTATAATAATAATGTGGCCTACGGCTAATTTTTTTCGTGGTACGTGGCTACAAATATCAATCGAAAAAATAAAAAATGAATAGTAAAAAATATAAAATATTAATGTCCTATCACAACTATCTTAGACTCTTAGAGACTGTCATATTTAGTATAGGTTATAATGCCTTATATTCTGATAAACTGTAATCGAATAAGTTTTATTAATGATTTTATATGTATACATATATAATAATATAACATTTTTTTTTCGTTAAATTGTTATGTGTGACCCGCGTAATAAAATATTCAATTTCGCACTTGACACTTTGAGTTTGACATACCTGATGTAAGATATGAATATATATTTTAAATTCTTTTAAATTTTTTTGTGATAGTTAAGTAAACAATTTTATGAAATTTTTTTAAGTATTTAAAAGTATCTATGAAAACATTTTGAAGTATCTGTATTCGTACTATTATTTTGAAAACAGGTATCTGTATCTGTATTTAAATACTTTTAAAAAGTATCTTTTATAAGACTAAATGTACTTAATTTACTCTATGCTACAAAAAAGTCGTCCTATACACGCTTTTGACATGCCTGATGTTCTCTCGTAGGACAAAGTTATAAAATTTTAAAAACATTAGAATATTGATAAATTATCTTTTACAGATAAACTATACACGATGATTGTAATCCAAAATCCAACTGGAGCAAAACCGCCGATATAACTATATTATAATTTTTTATTCAATAAAAACACTAATACAAGTTATACATTATCTATGCACTTGGAATACCTATCTAATTTCTACGAGTTGAGCTTGAAGTAAAGATAAATAGTTACAGATAATGTATTTAAATTGAAAAGAAGTTAAAAATATTGGTAAATAGTTGATAAATTATAATCTTTTTTAATTAGAGGCACATACTTAAAGTTAAAACTAAAATCAAATTTACAAAAATACAAATAAAGAAATACATAAATATATCAGATTTTTTAATTTAAATGTTCATATTTGGAATGTTATTATTGTGTAAATGTTCTGTCACATTTTGTAAATTGCAAGGCTGGGCATATTTTTTTAACTCAGTTATGTTAAGTTAATACACATCAATAAGAAAAAGTTTAAAGTTAAAAGTTAATAACATTTTTTAATTACTTTTTACTAAGTTAAAGAAAAGTTATTACTTTTTTATATGTTAGCATTCTTTATCTCTTATCAATTCAAAACTAAATTAGAGATTATAATGCTTATACTTCATACGACATCCAGTATTTCTATATAGTATATATTTTATTAATTTTTAATTTCTAAAAAAAATCACAAAATATTTTAATAAATTAATACAAGGTATTAAGTACTTAAAAACAGTTTAGCTGTTTAAATTGTATGTTTGTATCATTATACCAATTATACAAAATTACGTTTCGGAAAATCGTCTGGAATTGAAAAAAAGACGAAAATTGCGAAAAAATGTATTTTAATTTTTAGATTTTCATTCGTACACGAAACGCATTAAAAGTTGCAAATGCAAAAACATTCGTGCCTATTTATGATATATTGATTTTAATGAGAACTCTACAAGATAAAAGATGGTGAAATGTATGGTATTTGTTGTTACTTCACACAACTGATTAAATAACATGGTTTTTAATGAATTTCAAATAAATAATGTTTAATTATGATTATTTTACAACAAAAATCGTGTTAATCAAATATGTGAAACAACAACAAATAAATTTCACCTTCATTTATTTTGCAGATTTTTCATACAAATCGATATTTCACACCACACTTTGCGTGAAAAACACCCAACAAGCCTAAAATCGATGTCACATATCGATTCACATAAAAAATTTGCAAGAAATATCTTACCAGTATTCATTTTTAGTTTCAACATAATGTTCTAAGAATAATTAGATAAAACCCAGGTTTGAAAATAGAAAAACAATGTCAAATGATTCTTCATTGGGCTACTCCAGAGAGTACGCGTAAAATAGTTTCTTCAATCATTTTATGAACACCATGTATGTAGTATGTATTTTATGTATTTTAAGTACACCATTAATGTTTATAATAATGAAAATTTTCTCGTTCAGGCCTTAGTAAAGTTCTTGTATATTTTCAATTTATTTTCAAAATTAAAATCCGCCAAACCAAACTCCCACAGTTTTGTCTAGCTTTATAGTTTGTTATACATGATTTATATCGTTTGTTCGAGCAACACGAAATGTTTATCGAACCTTCGAAAATGTTCGATCGAACGGTCTAGAACCGGTTCTTTGTCGTTGCCGAATTATTATCAAGATTAACATTTTCAGGCGCCGCAGCGACTCGCAGTTTTTTAGTCTTTTTTTTTTTTTTTGTTTCCGATCGTTCGTGTGGCAGGTTCGTTAACGGGAGCATTGTCACAGTCTCCTTTGTACATGCGCCTCATTCGGTCTACAATTAGTTGAATGTGATCGTCGCCTGGTCTTACGCCCGAGTTCGCATGTGTTATGCGTATACCCAGTTGGCGGCTCGTGAGTGTTGATGAAGGGAGTGCGATAATATGAAAAGTGTTTATCTGTTCCTGTACCATTTATTTTTTATATTGTTATTTTATTATTATCCAAATGCTATTATACAATTATGGTTTAAAATGCACGCACCTTATCTCATAATCGAAAACCGTAATCCGCGGGTAAGCTGTTCAGATTAGTTTAGAAAATATCATTCATATTCATATGTTTGGACGACGCAGTGTATTGTCCATACCAAAGACTAAAATATATACTTTTTCGTACTGCACACTTAAGGCTTTTGTCATGCTCCCTTTTCAGACATTAACAGTAATGAGTAACACAGTTAAAATAGTTGGTATTTTAGATTTTGTTGTTGACACATTTTGTAATTTTAAAAATATGTAAAATAATTTAATAAAAAAATGTAAAATTAAAAACAAATACCATAATATAGAGAATAGAACCACAACACATTTTTTAATTTCATATTACACAGATTATGTCAAACTGCACACAATTTTAGTCCCTGGTCCATACGCTTGCGGAATACCCATAGACTACGCTATGGGATACCGCAGCTTAATCGTATCCGCACACATACGTTCATATGGCCTAAAATTATATCATTGATTATAAATGTATAATCAATGATGAAATATACAATTTTTTTTTGTTTTAAAAAGGGAAAAAATAAATAAACATATAAATAAATATACTACTTACCAAAAAGCCACATATGGAGAATTTTTCTTTTGCTAAAATTACATGAAAAATTAAATTAAATAACAGAAAATTAAAAATTAGAAAATAGCGAACTATAAATTATTTTTTTTCTATGCAATATCTCGGTGCAAGTATCTTTTTCAGTTGAAATAGACAATTCATTCAAGTATTTGGGACCTAAATAGTCAACAAAGAATTGACCAAAAGATTTTTTGGTATATTTAATCGGTAGATCATACATTCTGTTTCCTCTGATGTCATTAAGATTTAATTACTGGATTTGTGATGAAATACATTTTTTAATTATGTAGAGTATTGCAATTTTTTTATAAAGAATCCTTATTGGCAATGCATCTAGCATTTTATAATTTAAATTAGTAAAGCCTTCTAGTGATTTTTTATTTAATATTATTCTTACTATGCAATTTTGATTTTGATGTAAATTATTTAAATTATTGTCTTTAACACCACCCTAAACTAGAAGGCCATATTGAATAAACGATTAGTAAAACGCAAAATATGTATTACGTATAGTCTTAATCGGTAATACGTCTTTAAGTTGAATGAATTTATAAATTATACAACGTACCTTGCTCACTAGATTATTTGTTTGAAGATCCCACCTTAAGTTATTGTCAAATATAGTACCTAAGTAGCAGATTTTAGCAATTCCTTTATTTCCTTACAGGTTTGCTGGTCATATTTCTTATATTCATTACAGTTATGTATAATTAGAGAAAAGTTTAGACTAATTGTTTTTTTTATTGAAAACTTCATATACATGGTTTTTATCATAATTTAAAAAGAGATCTATTTTCCTTAGGCAAGAGTTAATTAGGTTAAGTGTTTTTTTGTTGCTTTATGATTTACTTCTTCCCACGAATTATCTGAGAAAAACAAGCATGTATCATCAGCATAAGTAACAATTTTTTCATCTATTTTTAAACCATATATTTCATTGATATATAATAAGAATAGAATTGGGCCGAGCACACTACCCTGAAGAACACCATATTCGAAAATTTTTTCATCACCTAAAGAATCATTCAATTTAACTATTTGTTTTTTATTTGATACATAACTATTAAACCAATTTGAACTTCTATTAGTAATACCGAAACTCGAATTTTGGAAAAAATGCCGTGATGTATGGTATAAAAAGCCTAAGTCTAAAAAAACAGCAAATACTTTTTTATCATTATCTAAGTTCTCATATAGAAATTGGGTAACCTCATACAGTGTATTTTCAGTTCCTAAACCTGATCTGAAACCATACTGATTTTTTGATAATAAGTTGTTATTTTCTAAGTACTTAACTAATCTTGACTTAATAATTTTTTCGAAAAATTGTATAAATTATATAAAGTAGCCTAGGTGACTACAATTTTTGTCCGAAAGCGGCGGGCGGCGTATATCGCCCAGTACTCAGCAGTGATAGATTGATATGCATGCGGCGCTTTCATACTTGCGGCATACGCACATGGTAATCGCTGCAATCGCATTCGAAAACATTTATAAAATTATTATTTTGATTATTTGAAAATCACCATTTTAGTATTTCAAATACTAAACATTAAATTATTTAATAAATTATTACAAGGTATACTATAATAATAAGAATTAATTTTATTTTTTTCATAAATAATAGTAGACGTGATCGTCCTGTCGTCCAAGCCACAAGCCGCCACTGTGTTGTACTCTTTGTTCCGCACCTTAATTTTCTTACGTGTTAGATAGGTACGCGCGTACTGCATGGTCGTCGCACGTTATTTCATTTTTATTGGTTGGCGATTTTTACGTCGTCGTCGGACGTGTGTCGTCTTATTAAGGCCCCTTCACACGTAGACACTCGGCAGCAATGTTAATGAAAAAATACGAACGTATACAGATGGTTTCACACATGACCACAACCACTGATCTAAAGCGCCACATACGGTGTCAGGGTTGATTTCGCCTCAGAACGCCTCGTCTAAAAGGCATACTTCTCGTGACAGAACGTGTTTTTAGATTGGGGGTTTCGCACGCGACCGCAATCACGCGACTATTTTTGTAGCTCGTCGGCAGAGCGATTTAAGGTCTATTTTCACAAAACCGTTCCATGTCCATTCAGTATCAGTACCGTCCATTCCGTGTCCAACGTTTTAAATGTGTTTACATATTACTCAATGAAGTTCCATTTCCCTGGCACTCCCACTTTAGAATTTGGAAAATCAAATTCGATAACTCGTTTGTGCTGGTCTGTGTACCTATCCCCGAAGTTTATACAAAACGTTCTGGAAGTTGCCGTCAAATAAAATCTAACATTTTTATGCCCACCACCAGAGCCGCACCGAGCTATTTTTTATCCTGAGGCAGAACTAAAGCAATGTGTCCCCCTAGGTTTTAGGGTTGTCACACTCATAGCTTTTAATATATATATAATACAATATAATAATATAATATATATAATTCGGAAAAATCTGAAAAATTGACATTTGGTTTCTAGCAAAACAAGAAATAACATTTCTTTAAATAAGTTAATTATTTAATATTTTTGCGCCCCCCAATTTCAAGCGATCTAAGCAAGTGCCTTGTTCACCTCACCCTAGTTACGGCTCTGCCCACCACTCAATGACAAATAGACGAAGTACATAAAAAAGAGAATAAGTAAAAAACAGCTACTGTTCAGAAGAAAAAAATAAACACCATCATAATTATATAATAATATCTTCAACCATTGAGAATATTAATATAATATAATATAATACGCAGTGGCGGATTTAGCGTCAGGCAAAGTAGGCAGTTGCCTAGGGTGGCAAATTTTTAGGGGTAGCAATTTTAGGCCAATATTTTATTGAGAATACTCTAGGATTCTTTTTGATTTTCTAATGTACGGTGATTACTTTGAAGGATGTCAAATAAAAATGTTTAATATTTAAATATAACATAATATTCTTGTTAATATAATTTCTTCTTTATTTTATAATACATAACAATAAACGACCAAGTAAATTATCGAACGACTGGCGGAAAGTATATCTATTATCTAAATACTATCTAAATAATATCTAAATAACCATAGATAACATATTTCGTTATTTTGTTTTTTTTAAATCGTAAAAGTTATTAATAATCGCTCGTGGGTCGTTTGATCGCACGGCGTACACACTACACCAGTGATTCTTATCCTTTTTTCATTCATGTCACCTTTAGCCACTAGAATTAAACACCGCGTCACCCTAACATCAAAATAATAAGTAGTGACTACACGGACAATATATACATAATATAATGTGATATATTTTATACGAATATGGGTGACGATCGGTTCGTATTAGAACGATAGTCTAATTATAAACCAGTCACTGTAAATATTTGTATATAATATACTCGTACGTACTACGTATTATGTGTACAAAAATAACACTTTTTCTATCCGAAAGATAAAATTATTGTAATAATTATTTATTTTTCTTCGTGACTATGAAAAAGAGGGCGGCCGAGTAGAGAATAGGTTTATTCTGATTAGACTAGTTCGCATGTGGCGTCCGTAACGTACGCATCAGCCGTCACGCTCCTCCTTCGTTTATTATTTTATCAAATTCTGATATTTGTTTTCACTCAATTTTTGTACCAAATAGTTGTAAAACTGTTTATAAACATACTTATGTTTAGTCAGCAAAAATCTGTCTTTAATAACGAAATGTAAAGCTATTTTTTCTTTCTATAAGATAAACGGAATACTAACTTTCTTATAATATTGTCATTAAATATCGTCTTATCGCGTTCGTTTTATCGTGCATCGTTACATCACGTGTCGTAACCGTGCTGCACGGCGGTTGCGACTTCGACCTCTACACTAGTCACTAATATGCCACAATCAAACAGAAATAATAATAAAAACAAAAACAACCAAAATAATCTCAATAATGCAAACTCTCGCAATCAACAGTCGACTATCAACAACGTTCAAGTAGCCGGTAATAGTATGGACGATAACTCGAATGACAGATGGACCGTAGTTATAGATTCAAAAAAAAATGATCGTAAAAAGAACTATTCTAGTACTTCTGAACAAAACTCGCCAAAAATACCGATAAATAAAAACAAAAAATTTTTCTTTACCACTAATCGATACGAGATACTATCTCAAATCGATCAAATCGATCCTGTACAGTCATCTTCGAAGTCTCAGTTGAATGATACCCACGCTTCTGATTTTCTCTAAAATCCTATCAAATCCATTAACATTGGAACTAAAGCTCCCCTACCCCCACCAATTTTTATTAGGGGCGTAATAGAATTTACCAGCTTGTGCACAAAACTTATTGAATAGATTGGTGTTGATAATTTTTACTGCAAAGCCTCGACTGACCGCCTCAAAATCATGACAGCTAATCCAGAATCTTATAGAACACTGGTCCACTTCTTAAGAGAAAAAAAAAAGCCGAATTTCACACATTTCAATTGAAAGAAGACAAGCCTTTACGAATTTTACATTCAGACAATGGCCGAAAATGTTTTAATTCAATAATTATTGAGCTTCATTCCATGTGGTCAGATGTAAAAATAGTGCATGGCAAACCTAGACATAGCTAGAGCCAAGGGTCTGTGGAGAGAGTAAACCGCGACGTCGAAGACATGCTAGTAACATGGATGGCTCAAAATGCGTTTTACTTTATTAAAATAAACAATCACCGAGTTAGTTTATTATCAATTTAAGGCTGTTGGAGCATACCATGTTTTAGGGAGTAATATTTAGGCATTTTATATGACAGTACGTTTGGACTGTGTCGTTGTGTGAGTAGTAAATGGACATTAGTTGTGTACTCCGTTATCGCGTTGTTGCACCCATCGATTACGAATTCTCGGAACTACGATAGTAATCAAAATGTACATTGTACAATCATTACATACATTTATCAATACCTACATATGTAATGATATTTCAAATATTTCTAGTTGAACATTTATAAACTAAAGCACAATAATTAATAATTCTTGAGTAATTTATTTAATTTAAATAATAAAATATAAAAATTAAATAATAAAAGATATATTTTACGCATTGGAGTTATAAGCCATTTCTAATGGGCAATCCACGGTCATATCTTGAATTAATTATTTCTATAATCAAATTATTCATATAAAATGATGTTAATTGAGGCTCCATGGAATTGGCCCAAAAGTCATCGTCTCTCAATATTTTTTCAAATAAAATACCTAGATTTGTGAAAATAATTATAATTATAAATATTATTTTAAAATGTGTAAAGAAACTAGAAATCGTATTTACTTTTTGGAGTTCAAATACAAAAATAACAATACTCTCTCTGTGCAATATGTAATGCACCTTGAACTTGATAATAATAATTTGCATTTGTTTTTAAATGTAAATTATTATTTTTTAATACAAAATATTTTATTATATTGTTATCTATTGCTTCTTTTGGAGACACATTTTTGGCACTAGAAGGACATTTTATTTCTACTAATCCATCATCTCCGATCAGTCCATCTGGGGAGGCAGCTAAGTAGAATTTTTCAATATCTATCATCAATCCGGATGGTTCAATACTGACACTTAATATATTTGTCAACTGTTCTTTTGCCACATCTTCATGTTCAACTCCATATTTAGTTGATAGATTTCCTTGAAATTTTCCGTACAATATCGTTTCTATAGTTTTGGTTCGTGAAGTGGTTTTCCTTAGTTTACAAATTTTATCAAAAACTGATGCTGTTAATCTAATATAAAATAATTTATTTAAATTAAAAAGAATAAAAATGAAATTGTTATTTGTGGTTGATACTCTTAAAATAATAACAAAGTAGGTACCTATTATTAATTAAAAACAATCCTAAATCTATTAGTACATTTCAAACAATAATACCCATACGTTTTTATTTTTATTTATATGGATATTGGAGAAAATATAAGATATAATTTTAATACATTACTTATATATTTAATTATATACTTTGTTTTTAAAATTATAGATTGCATATTAATTTGGAGATATAATGTGTAAGCTTCCCCGTAAACTCACTCTAATGCGAACAATATTATCATTTTTGTGACAAAACATTTGTGTATATACTAATGTAGTAATTTTGATTTGAAAAGTCGAACCTTTTTTTACGTTCTCTATGCCAATCTTCACACTCGTGTTGCCTTTTGGTAATCTTTTCTAAGGAAATGATGTCTTCTTTTGTAAGCTTCAGGCTATTTAGATACAAATTTGTTCTGTTATTTAATTCCGATGTCAATAAATCTGGATGTGAAACGAAGTCAGGTTCAACAGCACCATAGTTCTCATTGGGACCAGCAAGTTTTTTTGATTTTAAACGTTGAACTGGTGTAGCAAATAATTGGCGTCTCCGTCTTGAATCCCATAATTGCTGACTTCTTTTTATGTACCTGCCTTGAAAATACATATAGTATTTAAATTAAATTATAACTATTTTTTTCACCTTTTTGTAAATACACCAGGATTCTTTTTGACGACTTGTTTGTGGAATAACGATAAACGATTTGCTCCTGCATTATATGCAGTAACTGCAGCATTACATCGTAATTCATATGAACCTCGAAGACACAAATTTACCCTTTTACCCCCAACAAATTTGGCCAAAATAGAGTTATAATTTTCTGCTGCATTGTTATTTAAATTAAATATCAGACTTTCTGTATGATATGTTAAAATGCTTCTTATTGAACCTATATCATCCCATAGGCCTACTCGTTTCATATCAATCACATGTTTTTCTTCTCCTATAAATATAACAATATATATATTATGAAAATGATACCTGTATTATAAGTTACGTATATTCTATCCGATCTTTTTGTTTTAAAATTAAATGTGATTATTTTTTTAAAATAAACCAAATAAGTATTATTTTACATAGATATATTAATATATATTTTTATAAATATATTATTTTGGTAATTGGTATAATTACCAAAAATATGTATAGGTACATTTTTTAAATTACCATTGGCAAAGTTTTAAAATGTCTATATACAATTTTTATATTTTATAGGTATACGTTATTAATATTATTCACTTTTTTTTTCTGTATAAAAGTAGGTATTTTTTAAATTATTTTACTCTTTTTATTATGAATTTATATTATGCATGATAATTGACCTACCTAAATTTTTTCTTTTGCAAAAGTAATTACTGCAATTCTCATGATCGCCGAATATATGATTAGGGCTATTTACAATGACTTTCTTCAACATTTTAATAGAATCTTCGTAGGAAATATTGTTTTGTTGTTTTCTGTACTTTATAGCTTTTATAATTGCCGCGCGAAGTCGGCAAGTACAACTGACCAATAAACTACGCATACATCCCGGTACATTTTCACCTTTACTACTTTTTTTTTTTTTTTGAAAGCTCATGAAGTTTATTAGTATAATTCTTCAAAATATGGTTGGAACATTCTGTTTTTTTAATAATGACGTCAGGACCATAAGGTTTCGCCAAACGTAAACGTTTCATGACATTGCTATCGCCATCACCTATATTATAAATGTAATTACAAAAATAAATTGAAATATAATACAATTTATTATTATAAGTGTAAGTTGTTACTTGTTACGTGTTAATTTGTCATATTTTTTTCGTAACAACTAGCCCCAAACTTTCCTACTAACCAATTAATAACTGTATTTTATTTTTGAATAATTATGTACTCGTATATTAGACACAAAATATATATACGATATAATATACATAATTATTCAAAAATAAAGCACTAGGCTTACCAATCATCCGATTCCATAATTTAATATGCATGTCTAAACTATTTTTAAAACCATTTACTATAATGTCTGCTTCCATTGCAGCTGAAGGTGAATTCCAATTTTTAAAGCAGAAATGGTCTTTACTTTCTAAATCTAATTTTGAAAACCGATGACAAATACAACAATATTTGTTTCTTATACCTACGAATAAAATTTTTTTGGCTCTCTGACCAACTATACAAGCCTAAAATTAAATTTTTTAATAATTAATAATAAAATGATAAAAACAGAATATATTTACCATTCCCGATGACGCATTGTAATTTCTTTTATAAGACCTTTTACTCTAAGCTCCGTCTGTAACTACGGCTATTTTAGGACGTCCATATAAATCCACCTCTCCTTTTTCTATAGCTTACCCTGCCTCTTCCTTACCAGCAGCTTCCATCTCATTCCAAGCTAAGTCGTACATATGATGATAAACATCATTATATACATTTTGATATGTACGATTACACATATTTGGCATATTAAGGGTAGCACAAAATTCTTCCATTTGTGAAAAACCTTGACCAACATTAATCATCGCTGTTACCATTGCCATATTAATACTTAAATTTTTTGTTTTTGGATCTTCATTAAATACATTTTTAGTAAGTCCACAATTGTTACATTTAAAAACAAATGTACTAATAAAGCCTTTCCTTATTTCATTCACTAAATGTAAATCACGAAAAGAACAATCAAAACCCTTATGGTGAATAGCTTGAATAGACGTAATGAAAAACTGTAAATCTATTATCCTTCTTCCATTAATTTCAAAGGTCCTAATAATAATAATATCATTAATTAAGCATAAAAAGAATAAAATTATTAGCATATTATTTTACTATAAATATATATTTCATTCAAATACCCGATTTCGAAAAAATTAATATTTCTAAAGCTTTTAAAAATGTTTTGATTAAATTGAGTGTTTCCGCGATATTGATAACACGATAACTCGGGTTTTAAAATTTGTACAGAATATTTTTATAAACATTTTTTAGACATGGTGTATATTTCAAAATATTTCGACAGTTTTTATCAGGGCTTGAAACCGGTATTTGATACCGTTTTTGAATACCGTTTAAAACCGTTAAAAAACAAAATCGATATCAAAAACGAAGAAAATCAATAACGGTATTCAAAACCGAAATCAAAAACCAAAAAATCTAAAACGATATTCAAAACTGGAATCAAAAGCGAAAAATATTAATAACGGTATTCAAAACCGAAATCGAAATCAGAAAAAAAAATTTCGGTTTCAAGCCCCCTGGTTTTTATACTCTTTATAGGTATTAAAATTTCAATAAAATTACAATCAAGACTATATTTTCTATTATCTTGTATTTCATTTGTAAACCTTAAGTATTAAACCTAAAAATTTAATTAATTTGAACTATACGATGATGATGCATTTGAATACGTTTTGTCGAGTATAAAAATTTAAAATCTACGAGAACATGAACAATTGAAATATCTATACGTAGTACAGAAAACGTCTTAATGCTTTCAAAGTTATACAATCTTAATAGAATATTTATATAAACATTCAATACTATTTTAATATCTTAAAGATAATTGTTTTCCAAGTTTCGATAGAAATTTAAAAAATTATTAGATTTTAACAAAACTTGGTTACCCTATCTCGTAAATGTTTTTTTTTTTATAATTTTTCGTTAGTTTTCCTTAAATATTTGGAAAATTAAAAACTTACATTCTAAATATTTCAATAAAACAAAATGTCTTGTCAGTAAAACAAAAATTTAAGAATGTATTAAGTACATAGTATTTTAAAGACGTATAATAGTAATTTTAAAAACATTATATGCTTGCATATGTCATACATTTAGGTAAATCGAATCTACAATTATTTAAATAATGATTACTTACTTTTCACTCATACTACTATCATATCCGGATGGACCTGCTCCTGATGTCGCTACTTCAATATTAGTTTCAATATAATTATTTGGCGTGATTATTTCAGGAAAATTCATATTAGAACCAGTTTCTATGTTCTGAAAGATTAAATTTATTTTATTAAAAATTGATAATTAATAAAATAAAAAAAATTAAAATAAGTATTTAATAATAAATTGTATATTACTTGACAGTCGTTCTCATTTTTTTCGCGTTTTTTAGAAGTCAAGTTAGCTAAATTATGTTTTGGTTTTTTTTTTGGAATAAATAACTTGCGCCGTGATTTTGTTCCAAAATCCCAATCTTTTCCCATTTTTAAAAAAATACTTTACACTGTTCAAATTTAAACTATTTTATGTATAACCACAACTGTTAACTAAACTGAACACCAAAAATTAAAATATTATAAAAGTGCACAATATAGCAAATGAACGAGTCCCGGTAAATTTTTTTGTATCCGTTTCCGATTCCGCAATCGTTCAGTCGGGCACCGGCTAATGACGGTCATTATCACGATAACGAATACGATAACCGATCAACTTTAATAATTCTAAGAACAACCTCTGCGCTTGCACAAGTCACTGAATTTAGGTATTGAATTTTTTTCGTTTTCAAAATCGGTACGTTAGAGTTAAAAGAGAAAGATTTATTTAGTTACTTCTAGTGACCCGATTTACATTTTGAAAATAAATGTGTATTCGTTAACCTTTATGTTAGGTTATGTAGGAAAAATAATTGAGATTTTAGAACGGTTTGCATGTAAATAACATAAAAATAATTGTATGGGTTTAAAGAAGTGAACAGTGTTTTTTAAGCCTCATTGAATAAAAAAATTAAAAATGTTTCTCCTACATAACCTAGAAAAAGGAATGATGAATTCATACATATATTCAAAATTGAAATTGGACATCGGGAAGTACTAAAATTAATCTTTCTCTTATTGGTCTAAAGGCATATAAAATACAGCATGCTCCAACAGCCTTAAGTCATTGTCAGTCCGCGATTGTTGTGTCATCGATACATAAGAGTTACGTCCTATCCGATTATATGTGAACCCTGTGCATCATTGCATTAGACCGGATGAACCGCTCCCCCAATTAACCTCTTTCTTCTAGTTCCCATTGTAATTAAACTATATTTCCTTCTTTTTGTGTCGTAGGCATCTCCATCCAGCTTAATTGGTTTTTAAATTGCCTATCTATTATTTATAAAAGGCGTTCTGAATGGCTGCTAACCAGGTGAAGGAAGTTTATGTGCAATTATTATTATTATTCTCACTTTTTATTATCGTGTCACCACTGATCCCTCGTCCCATCGTTGTCGCACCGATGAAAGCCGTACATATGTGTGAGTAGTAAGTGATATAAAATACAAATGTTTTTTTTATACTTTTGGATACTAAAAAATCGGTTTTAACCACTCTTAAGTCATTATGAATCTGTAATGTATTAAATGTATTTAATTTTAATAATAATTAATATTTTTTTATTTTTTTATTAAGTGGTACAACAAAACTTCTTACTTTCAATTTTTTCTTATTATTAATATTATATATATTGCAGTAAAAGATATTAAATTTATATTTACGTTGTTAACTAGCAATTAACGTTAATAGATAATAATGAATATTTTACAAGGTTTATAACGTTAATAACTAAGGATATACATTAATTGTAAACAAAATTAGTTAATCATATTGTTTGTATTAAAATTATTATATTATTTATTTTCACATGACAACGAACTATGACATTTTGAATTGCATAATTTTCCAACTAATCGACAGGTGCATTTATTTGTTTTGCACTTCAAATTACAGTGACATCTTTGAAAGACTTGTGTGCCCATGAGACTACTATATCCTGCTGCTTCTCGAAGTGTTATCTATTTTTCTTTAGATGATTCAACCAGGGTTTTGAGATCAAGCAACATTTCTTTGCATGTCACAAGTTGAGATCTCGTATATTTGTATTTAAGAAAACCATTTTAGGTACCTAATTCAATAATAAATACATAAATACCTATAAATTTCAATTTTGTATTTTATTTTATTTACATAATTTATAAAAGCCGTTATCAACATAAAAAATAATTGCTAATAAATTGTGTGGGGATCCACGGGCTATGTCAACGTCAGGTATGGACATACGAACAGTTGTTCCGACTTCCAACTCTTGATATTTTTTGTTTGATTGTGTCGTCATCCTTTCGGCTTGCTTTTTTAAACATTGAATTGAATTATTTCATTCATTTGTAATATTTTCTTGAGACGTTTGTTAACTAAAATAAAACGTAATATATAAAATAATTATAAAATGGCCGAAATGCAGGGGTCGGGTGAATTACAATTTATAATTATTATTTATTATTCCTATTTTTTTTTTTTTTTTTTTTTTTTAACAAGCAATAAAGAGTTTTATTTTGAATTTTTTTTTTTTTTAATCAAAATCGAACCGTCCCATTTTAATTTTTTTTTATGTTAAGTAATGTTCAAAAAATAAATTTAAAAATAAAATAAAATTTATAATTTTAAAAAAATTAACAAACCAAGACATTTCTCGTCTCTGATTTCATTGTTTTCACTTTTCTTGTCTCTGATCTCATTATCCTCATTGTTTTCGGGCTGTAGCATTATTTTTTCAATATCTTCTTCCATACTTAAATTACAAATTTCGTTTACTAGAATGCCAACTGATGCTAATCCAACTCTTGCTTTGCACCCAAACATTACTTCGTAAGGAGACTTTCCAATGCCTTTAATATTGAATTTGATAGAAAAAACATTATTTAACAATATTAAATATTTAATATATAATATAAAATGATATTCATACCTGAATGTAATGCACGGTTCTTTTGAAATTGTATAAACTTTAAACCCGAAGGCCAATCTCTGCTTTTATTTTGTGCCATCCATGTTGCTAGCATGTCTTCGACGTCGCGGTTTACTCTCTCCACAGACCCTTGGCTCTGGCTATGTCTAGGTTTGCCATGCACTATTTTTACATCTGACCACATGGAATGAAGCTCAATAATTATTGAATTAAAACATTTTCGGCCATTGTCTGAATGTAAAATGGCCGGTGCCCCGAAAGTTGTATAAATATCCAACAAATTGTGCACGATGTCTTCCGCACGTTTACTCGTTAAATCTCTAAATAACACGAATTTCGTAAGATGGTTTTGATAACTTAAAATGAAGCGGAATCCATTAATATTTTGTAATTGCATATCAATTAAATCAATTTGAGCTCTTGAATTGAAAGTGGAATGTAAAATAGTTTTTGAAACTAAGCCTCTTTTAGGATTTGATGACTTTTTTTTGGCAACGTGTACATAGATTTAAATATACCATAATAATTTCGTTCGTGATATTGCAATATTTTGATTTTAATTCAGAATCCATTCTACATCTTCCACCATGGCCAATAAAAGAATG